TCTATAAAAGGATGGTAAATAATTATATGGTTTGAATATATATATATATATACATATACATATAAGAATACAATCTAGCTTACTCACCTTCCAATAAATGAGTTTGCTTCCAAACGCAGGAGCTTTTTTGCATTTATGGCTGCCATCGTTATTTCACCTGCGCAGTTGCTTCGTTTTTCGTTTTCTTGTTTTCCCTAAATTTTGTCCAATTCAACTATAAATCTTTCCTATAAGAATCCAATTCATTACTCTTCTTCTTCGTACGATTTTTTTTTTCTCTCGGCACACACACACAAAAAAAAAAAAATCTACTCTGATTTACCTCTCTCTCTCTCTCTCTCTCTCTCTCTGTTCTTCTGCTACTCAAAAATGGCCTCCTCCGACCTCGAAAACAAGATGAGCTTCTCCATACAACACACTGATTCCTCTTGTTCCAACATTTACGACGACGATGGAAGATTAAAAAGAACCGGTACGAATCTATTCTCCTTTCTTCTATCGATTTTTTTGTTTCGATATTCAAAAACCAACTGTTGATGTTTATCGCGTTCAATGGTCCCGAGCCACAGAGCCGTGTCCCTTCTCGGTTTCTGTGGCTCCGACAGTATCCATGGTTGTCGTATGTCTGTATTTTCACCTCTCATAATAATTATATTGTTGTTGTTTTTTTTTTTCAGTACATTGGATTTGATTACATTTACTGATACTTTTCAATTACTTTTTTAATTTTAAAAATTCTCTCATAATAATTATGTCATATAGTTAAGTAATTTTACTCTAAAGTAATTATCATATAATTATCAAAGTTTTTAATACAATATTCACGTGTTAATTAAACATATATCTTCGTTTTTATGCTTAAATTAAAATATTAATCTATCAAATTAGTTCAATATTTATTTTTTTTTTTTAAAATAAAAAGTAAAATAAACGCAAGATCGATGTTTTCCCATCTCTTCTCAAGAAATAAGTAATTACTTTTTTATAAAATTGTGTTCGATTTTATATGTGAAAATTTCATTAATTTTAATATTAATCGTTAATTATGTTTATGAAAATATTATGTTAATCTCAAGCTCATATGACATTCGAAAATGTGGAATAGGAACATTGATGTCCGGAACAGCGCATGTAATAACAGCAGTGATAGGATCTGGAGTGCTGTCACTGGCATGGGCAATGGCTCAGTTAGGGTGGATTGGAGGGCCTTTTAGTCTTTTCATCTTCTCCCTTGTCACTTGGTTTACTGCCGGTTTATTAGCTGATGCTTACAGGTATCCTGACCCTGTTACCGGCAATAGAAACCACACTTATGTCCAAGCAGTCCAAAACCATTTTAGGTACTCCCAATTTTTTTTTTTTGTTCTTTTTTTAATTAATTATTAAATAATTAACGGAATATATTAAATGAAAAATGTTTTTTTTATTTTTTTAATTTTATTTTTGTAAGAGAAGTATCAAGCCCAGTTATGTGGGACTTGCTCAATACGCAAATCTCAATCGAATCGACCATCGGATATACCATCACTTCATCTAATAGCATGTCGTAGTACTATTGATAAGCATAGATGTCGTAAGTACTA